AATAAAATACCACAAAGGAGCTATAAAATCCACAATGCTATATGAGCGACGGAAATTATAATTGCCAACTACTGTGATTCCAAACTGACCACTAAAGCTTTACTTTTATTTGGTTAAATAATCACTGCATAGGCTTGAATTTTCTTATTATAAGAACATATGAGGGCAGATTGAGACTAGCACACATCGAAAATAAGAAGAACAATCAGTGCTGGTGCAGATGAGGGGAGAATCTCTTAACTGAAAGAAGAAATTCATTGTCGGTGGGAATGTCAACGATGGTTCAGTCTTTTTAGAAAACAGTAAGGGCATTCCTTAAAAAACTAAAAACCAAGCTTCTATACGACCCAGCAACACCACCCCTCAGAAGACACCCCAGGGGACCAAAAATATAATGCAGAAAAGCCAACTTCTATGTTCTATGTTCACTCCAAAATAATGAAATCATGAAATTTGCTCATAAGTGGATGGACACGTAGAATATCATGGTGAGTGAAATGAGTCCAAAGGAGAGGGGAAGGCATATTACTGCACTCATTTGTGAGATATAAAAAAACCATAGTATGAGACTAATACCCAAGGACAGTAGAAACAAAACTTGGAATGACTGGTCCATGGTTGGGAGCTTGCTACAAGTGGGGGTGGGCTGGAAGGGCAGAGAAGGGAACACTATGACCAGGCTAGTTGGAAATGACCATTCTCAACAAGAACTGAGTGCTGAAAGGAGTTAATGGGGTATACATTGTGAGCTTTCGGTACCTATATTGCAAACCACAATTCCCAAAAGAGGGGTGAGAGGGAGAGGGAAAGGGATCGGGAAGAGAGAGTCTGCCAAAGAGGCAGCTGGGTTGGGGTAATGGGAGGGAAACTGGTGACATTGGTGGTAGGGAATTTACACTGAAGGTCAGTTGCTGGAACGCTGTACGATTGAAACCCATCATGAACAACTTTGTAACTGTGTATCGCATGGTCATTAAATAATTAAAAAAATAAAAATAATAAAGAACAGATGAGGGCTAGAGAGATGGTACACGGTTAAGGCATTTGCCGTGTATGCAGCTGATCCTGGTTCTATCCCCTGTACACATGGTCCCCTTAGCACCATTGGGGATAATCCATGAACACATACATAGCCAGGAGCAGTCCCAGAGTACTACTGGGTATGCTCCAAATGCCTCCCTACCACTCAAATGAAAGAGCATGTGAGAGATTAAATTTACACTAAGGAAGATGAATATATATAACTGTATACAACAGGCCCCTGGGCATTTAAACAACTTGAGTTTGGGGAATGTTAAATATTAGTAGAATAATTATTGTGAATGAATATATAAAATATATTTGTATAACATTAAAATATTTTATAAACGATATTAAATGCTTTAAAATACATTATGAAATTTATTTATAAGCGTATTCATTTAAACATATTACAAACATAAATATAAAATCTGTTAAATCTATATAACTGTTTATATTATAAATTATACTTATAAACTTATAAACTGATAAAATATATTAAATACTTTTATGACATACTAAAATTTTTTCATGTCATTTTATGTGAAAAAGAATGGCAGGCTTTCAAATTGATTTTAATATATTTGTAGAATCACTTGAGTTTTGGAATCATTTTATTTAAAAAAATTTTTCTTCACATTGTGAATCTATAATAACATTTTTAAAACTTTATTTTATTTAAAAATTTTTAAAGTTGAGAATCATCTTTTATAAGCTATGAAGACAAATTACTCAAAACTATCTTTTCATTGTTTCGAACATACTCACTGTTTGCTGTATTTTTGGGGCACACCTGGTGATGCTCAGGGTTTACTCCTGGCTCTACACTCAGGAATTGCTACAGCTGTACTCAGGTAACCATGTGGGATGCCAGGATTGAACCTGGGTCAGCCATGTGCAAGGCCGACTCCCTGTCTGCTGTACTACTGTTCCAGCTGGAGAATACTCTTAACTGTTACATCCGTACCTAGGGAGATAAATGTCCTCTCCAGTCCAACTATTTTTGCAAATAGGGTAATTGGCTTCAATTTAGACCTGTCAGTGCTGCCACTCAATAGAATCCTTCAGAGAAAAACCGAAATCTTCTTGCTTACAAATCCCAATGTGTGCTCATTACATTAAAAGCACTTAGCACCACAATTAGCAAGACTTCATTCCAAAAGAAAAGGTGCAAGATCCAAACTTTCATCATTACAAAAAAAAATCTAAAGTTTCAGAATGTCTTTGTTTTTTGTAACCTACTATTGAAACTAATATGTACGAAACTGAAGTTAGCATAATTTATTAACATTAGTGATAACTCTAAATTACTTCTTAAAATGTCCACACTATTGTGAATTTTAACACGATATTATTACTATGTTAAGATTATCTGCTGGGCAGGGTTTGTGGACCAAAATTTACCCTTTATAGTTCTAGAATCAATTTCAAAAGGAAACTTCTGAGAGTCTTGCTTTCTTAAGACATTTTTATTTAAAAACGAAATACTCCATGAAAATCTGCTATGATTCTTTGCAAGTCCCTGGAAAGCAGCCATCAGCTGTGTTAGGTGCAATTTATCAAGGTTCTTGTTCATATTTAAGTTTTTAATTAATATTTTTTATTTTGCAGGGATTTACTTTTTTGGGGGGATTTATGGATCTGAGTTTAGGGATCACTCCTGGCAGTGCTTGGGGACTGGCAGGGATTGAACCCTGGACAGCCATGTGCAAGACAAGCACCTTACTCAATGTACTATCTCACCAGCCCCCCAATTTTTAATTTTTTATCTCATCATCATCTTCACTGTGCAGTACTGCTTTGCAGAAATTCAGAGACCACAGCAGAAAGTAAAATTCCTGTTACCACTAATATATATATATATATATATATATATTAGAAACCCAGGAAAGATTATACAACTCATACAAGCATTATATTTACAGCAAAAGTTACTGCTCTACTGTTCATTTTATTATTACTGAGCTCTTCCTACTCTTTATTGGTTATAAACAAAGAATAGGGGTCTGTAATTTTAAAGAAACATTGAACACCTATGAATTACAAAATTTAAATCCCTGAGAGAACTACTCATAATAGATGACCCTGGGACTGACTCTTCAATATGGAACACTCACACTAGAAATTAGGACTGTGGTAAAACCACTTAAGTGTCTTTATCTCTTGTTTCTTCTTATTCAATATGTCTTGCCATATTAAATGACACTTGCCAAAGTGTCATTTCTATTGAAAATGTTGTGACATTTCACCGTTTTGCTTCAAACATCGAGAATCAAAGTTATTTTTGATTGTTATAAGGTTTATATATAAATTCCTTAATCTATGATACAATGCACTTTAAAAACTTTATCTATTGGGATTGAACAGATACTGTACAGTGGGTCAGGCGCTTGCCTTGCACGCAGCTGCCTGGGGTTCAATCGCTGGCACCCAGAGGGTCCCCCAAGTCTCTTCAGGAGCACGAAGTCAGGAGAAATCCCTGAGTACCACTGGGTGTGGCCCCCAAACCACAAATAACATAAAAATAAAAATTTCATTTCTCACTAAACTACTCAACCCTCTTCTTCCTTTCTTCTCCGGAAATACTACCCTCATCAAATCCTGGACCCTTTACCAGAAACATCATGGACTCTACCCACGGATGCTTTTTCTCTACCTGATTCCCTCTGAATGTAACACCTCGCTTTTCCCCGGTATTTCTAAGTCTCCATTTACAGCACTTTCTCTACATAACATCCTTGCCCTCCTTCTCTCCCAGAGTGTAGTGAAGGTTGTTCTGTATTTCAATAGTTCTTTACATTTCTCAAATTGAATTATTTAAAAAAGATTCCCAAGTGTTTCCCCTTCTGTTTTATTTATCTTGTATTGTCCTGAAATGGAGTCAGGGAGCCATACCCAGAAGGCAGGCATTTTAACACTGAACCATATACTGACGCAGCCATCAATTCCAACCGCCTTTTCAATTTCTAACTCCTCAACGGTAGGCCTGAGTCTTACATCTGCACATAACAATTAGCACTTATTAGAGATCTACTAAGTGTTCATAGACTAAACCCACAAAGAAGGTTCTTTCTCCAGCAGTGACTTAAATCTAATGCTTCTGACTATGCTTCTACAGATGAGGAGATCTGGTCAAGGTCATGAATCACTCCAGACAAGCTGATTAAGCAGATAAAAACCTAGATCATAGAAGTAACTATGTCCCTCCTCTCGTCTACTTAATTACAATTTCTTAACTGAAAAGAAAAATTACAGTTATTGTGATAGCTATGCTTCAATGGCAAAGAGGAAAGGACTTTTATTTCTTTTTTTCCAAATGTGATATAAGTAACATGGGACTAGTAGGTCCTTGGCTATAAAAAAGTATAAATTTATGCAAATCACTTGCCATCTCTGGAATTTACTGGAAATGCAAGGTTTTTGATGCTTTTTACTATCATTACGTAGCACTGAATCCTGAGAGCTATTCTAAAACTATTCACTTATCCATGCATGCATGCATCCATTCATCCATCCATCCATGAGTGCCTGAGATCTCTTATAACTCTGATACCTGCAATTACATATCTTTGGAAGTTGGATCAAAAATATGAAAGAAGAACCCAATAAATTCCATAATAATGCAAATTCCATAAAATAGAATAGTCTGAGAAGTGTGTAGAATAGGAAAAAATTATGAACAGTCAAAGTAAGTTTCCCCAGTTGGCATTTGCCTAGATTTGCTTCTTATGTTTGTGTTTAATTTCTGCCTACAAAAGGACAAGTCACACAAATTAAAAAGGGCAGAGTGACTGACTAGTAATTTAAAGTGTGTGGAAAATCAGATGAATGAAATTCTAAATCATATTTGATTTCTAGAGAAAGTCTGCCAATATTTGCACACACTGATATTTGTCTTGTTCCCTCCCACCCCCCAAGTAACAGGAGCGAAGACCTAAAGAAAGATATAACTGTATCATGTCAATAATTCTAGAGTTTACCTTTGTTTCTGTTGCATGGGCTGTTGTCGCATAGCCATATATTGCATGTCTTCTTGTAGACGATTAAGAGGGGAATCTGGCTTGACACGAATCCCATAGTAATGGTACTTGGAGTTTCCTCTTTATGAAAGAAAAGAGACAGTATGGAGATAAAAAGTCAAACTAATAATTATCGTACAGGATAGGTATTTACTTCTTGAAAAAATAAACACAGCATATATTAAAGTTGGGTCAGAGCCGTAGCATAGCAGGTAGGGCGTTTGCCTTGCAGGCGGCCAACCTGGATTCAATTCCTCCGCCCCTCTCGGAGAGCCCAGCCAGCTACTGAGAGTATTCTGCCCACACGGCAAAGCCAGGCAATACTTCTGATGAATTAGATATGCCAAAAACAGGAATAACAAGTCTCAGAATGGTCAATGTTACTGGTGCCCACTCGAGCAAATCGATAAGCAATGGGAGGACAGTGCTACAGTGCAGGCTATTTATGATTGACTTAATTTTGGATAGTTGTACATGTTTATGGGAGCTGCATTTGAAGAAGTAAGATTCTGAATTAATCAACACAAGGCCAATTAAGGAAAACATTTCCCTATACATGTTCACTTAGATATTACCCGGTTTGTTATTTTGTTCATAATTCAATTGAGAAAGAGAAATGGTGGGGAAATTTCCTGGCTAATAAAACTTTACTAACAGGATAAATGGATGCACAGTAAACTTATCTAAGCACCGTAGCACTGTCTTCCCATTGTTCATCGATTTGCTCAAGTGGGCACAGTAACGTCTCCTTTGTGAGAGCTGTTACTGTGTTTGGCATATCGAATATGTCACGGGTAGTTTGCCAGGCTTTGCCGTGAGGGTAAGATACTCTTGGTACCTTGCCGGGCTCTCCGAGAGGGGCGGAGGAATCGAACGCGGGTTGGCCGGGTCGGACCACGTGTAAGGCAAATGCCCTACCCGCTGTGCTATTGCTCCAGCCCAAAATTTATATAAATCATATGAAAAAAATAATATTTTAAAGTGTTTACATGAAACACAAAAATTTAATGCTATGGTCTTAAATGAACTCAATGTTTCTCTATGTTTATTTCTGCAGGGATGATGTGAAATGAAATAACTTCTTTGGCATAAGATGTAATGAATACCATTGCTAGATATTTTGAAAACTAGGCATGTTGTCTATTCATCTTGAAATATATTTGATTAGTGTTCAGTTTGTGTTGTAGCTTTTGTTTTTAGAGCTACCCAAGCAGTACTAGGGGGCGTAGGGGTCACTACTTGAGCTACTACACAGCCCAGTTGTGTGGTTCTGAAGGTTCTGTGCTGCTCTGGGAATTATGGAGAGTTGAGGATAGAATTTAGGACCTTGGTAGTCAAGGGACACCCTCTCTCTTGCCTTGGAACTATCTCCCAGTCTGTTTTGGAGGTTCCTATCAGTTTTGAAAACTGAATAATTTGCTCACAACAGACATGAGAAAATTTCTCCTTGAGAACAGAAAATTTCTAATTGGAATAGTAATGTAACTATTCCCTTATGACTATGAAAAAGATCATGTTTATTACTGGAAATGATAAAATTTTGCATTTAACAAAACTTGGAAATTCTTACAAAAGTAGCATTTTAAACATAAGTTTTGTAAAGAGAAAATAGGTTTATGCAAGTATATATACATAAATAATAGCAAGACATGTACACATATAGTTATTCACATAGCAATAAATACTTTTTTCTATTTTTTTGATTTTTAAGTTTTAGTTTATCGAGTTTTAGATTAGTTTTTTTTTATTTAATTTTTATTAAGTGAAATACCGTGAGGTACAGTTGTAGACTTACAAATTTTTGTGCTTGGGTTTCAATTACACAATGATCAAATACCCATCCCTCCACCAGTGCCCATTTCCCACCACCACAGATCCCAGCATCCCTCCCACCCCCCATCCCCCACCCCCCATCCCACAGGTAGGGCATTCCTTTTTGTTCTCTCTCTTATTGGGTGTTGTGGTTTGCAAAAGAGGCAATGGGTGACAATCATGTTCGGTCTATAGTCTACTTTCAGCATGCTTCGCCCATCCTGGGAGGATCCTCCCAACACCCTTTATTTGGTGCTCCCTTCTCTATCTGAGCAGTCTTTTCCCTTAGCATATGTGTGACTGGCCTCCAAGCCATGGAGCAAAATTCCTGGTACTAATCTCGGCCAATCTTGGGTGTTAGTCTCCCGTTTTGTTACTTTATGTTCCCCAGATGAATGCAATCTTTCTCTGTCTGTCCCTCTCTTTCTGACTCACTTTTTTCTATTTTAACTTATTTTATTCATTGCTATTGCCATTATTACAGTTTAGATTTGGTGTTTTTACAACAGTGTTAATGATCATGGTTCTGATGTTCTTTGCACCATTAATATGTCTGCTATAATTCAAGGGGAGTGTATTAACACGAACATTTAATGAAAATACTTAATGACGAGGAAATGTAGCAGCAAAAGAGGGGGATGCTTAGCCCATCCTTGACCCCAGTGTTTAGAAAGAAACTGGTGATGGAAAGAAGTCACAGAGGAAAGAAGAGAATAAGAAGGAATGGTTTAACACTCATGAAGGCTTCAGTTATACCAGTGATACGAGTGAGGGGTGTAGCCACATATTCTTAATACAGATTCAAAAGAACTGAAAGCCTGGGATCCAAGCTGCAACCATGGACACTTTGTAATGTGCCTCTCAAGTGGACAGACAGACAGGGGTGAAGTGAGGGTTGGGATGGGGAGGGAACCTGGGAAGGCCGGCTGAGGGAAGTGGACACTGTAGAGGGATTGGTGTTGAAATATTGTATATCTAAAACAGAATGCCTTTCAGTAACTTGTCTTTCAGTAAACAATGGCTTTCTAATAAAAATTAATGAAAAAGAAAGAGGAAGGAAGGAAGGAAGGAAGGAAGGAAGGAAGGAAGGAAGGAAGGAAAGAAGGAAGGAAGAAGTGAAGGAAGGGAGGGAGGGAGGGAAAGAGAGAAAGAAAGAAAGAAAGAAGAAAGAAAGGAAGGGAAAAGCACTCCTTTTGCTGAGAATCAGACCCTGTCTCCAAATCCACTGCAGAAGACAGCAAAACAAACCAAAAACAAAACAAAACAAAACAAAACTCACAGAAAACCTTCCTGAAGTACCACAACCCAACTAATACTGTTCCTTTATTCAAACTGGAAAATAGTTGGGCACAGGGACAGGGGTTCGGAGCAGGTAAAATTCACCAGGGAATATGGCTAATGACAAAGGTGCAAAGCAAAATGAGGCCTCTTGTGAGACTTTAGTCTCTAGTTTCTTTATAGTTTCCTACAAATAAGCATTTTGATCAGGTGTGTGAGGAGGCAGTTCCTAGGATTCCGTTAGAGACGGTAAGGGGCAATCAGCACGTCGTGGGGACCTAACAAACGATGCCTTTTGATTTGCCTTCATTTAGAAACAAAGAAGATTTATAGTTCACTTCAGGCCAAACTTCAGAAAAGCTGTAGGTCTGGCATGATACGGTAATTTTACTGACAGATAAATAACCAATATACAGAGAGATTGCTTTTGGAAAAGTACCTAACTTTTTAGTTCTGCTGTGGTGACATATTTTGAGGAGGAGGACAATTGTACGCCTAAAACATACACAGTGAGTGTAGGATAACACTCTTTTGTTATCCTACAAAAGAGTGTTATCCTACAAGTGAGCTAATTTTATCAAGTGAAAAAAATATCTGAGTGAGTGTGCCTCATGATTTGCACTTTTCAGCTCACTGGCTTATCAATAAAAATCAAGAGGTAGACGTTTCTGTAGTCGAATCTCTCGTGTCTGTCTCACTGCCAATTTTGCTACCACGTAGAGACTTTTCACTACTCTTTCATAGCACTGTGTTTTTTTAAAAAAACTTTCTTGATCGAATTGCTTTGTTCCTTATTTTTCGAGGATTTGCTTTCCATTCTTAATTGCAAACACTACATACAAATTTAAAGGCATCAGGCTACATAATTACTATCTAGTGCGGAGGGAGAGAAAGAGCATCAAAAGGTAAAAGCTAAAATACCACAATGTGTACTTAAAGTATGGATTCTACTCAATCACAAACCCAAACAGCCTCAATTTTGTTTCTCTCTATTTCAAAGATACGTTTCAAGGTTTGAATGGGAGCCTCAAAATAGAATCCATTGAAATCCTGTTGGTAACAAAAGGCGAACAACAATACAGCTATTAGAGTTTTGTATAAAGCCCAGAGTCTCAAAGTATTGGCATGGTATGCATAACTACGGAGCCATCGCTTAGGAGATAGTAGGTTAGGTCTCCGAAGAATGATTTTTGTGATTCTTGGAAAAATACTAGAGAAACAAAAACCTTTTTTCCTAGGGACTGGAAGCTAGTTCCTTTAGTCTGAAAAGAGAATCATAGTATTCAGTTTAAAATACACTAGTTTTTAAAGTATGGGTAGAAGAAACTATATATATATATGAGAGAACTGAATCTCCAGCAATCTGACTGCTGTACAAGCACATAAAGTCAGGGGAATTTTGTGCAGAATAATTTACATTCTAAATTTACATTCTAAATACATAGAGCTTGTTTATCTCATAAAACCGACACACTGCATTTTCAATATAAATTTATAATGAAGTTGTTATTCAAGTTTTTATTTTTTTAAGAATATTAAGAATTCTCTACTAGGATTCTACAAACTTGTGACATGTAACTAATTACAGATCTATTATCTAATGTTATGCAGTATATCTTTAGTTTTATGTTTGCTAATAGATTACTATAATATTTAAGAAATAAAAAACATTCATCTTTACCATATACTTAATTATGTTATGATAATTTGTAAAAATTATGAAGAGGCAAAAATACAGTTTCATAGTTCTTAATACTATTTTCATCATTTTTCATTAGCAAAAACACTCATTTATTCCAAAAGAAAGGAAACAGAAAAACTAAGAATCTTCGTCACATTACTGATTTCCATGTGAAGGAATTATACTTACTATATGAGAACTTTCATACATATATGGTTCATAATTAAGAGTTTTTAAAATGTTTAAATCAGATAAATTGAAATTATGTCATGAGAACTTCCAAAACCATTTTTTCCTTAAAAAAATTTTTTTTTTGGCTTGTTGGGTCACACCTGGTGATGCTCAGGGTTTACTCCTGGCTCTGCACTCAGGAATTACTCCTGGCAGTGCTCAGGTGACTATCTGGGATGCCGAGGTAAAACCTAGGTTACCTGTAAAACATGCTACCCATCTATTATTGCTCGGTCCTCAAGAATCTTCTTTGCAAGTTCACTGAATCATTTTGGTTTCCAGAAATGAAACAAAAATGTCAGCCTTAATTTCCTGGTTAGTGCATTCCAACAGAATAGTTATGTATTAACGCATTTCAGTGTAAATCAACTAGAATCAAGAGCTATAGCTTTCTCCTTTTACTATTTCACTTTATTTATATTTATTATTTACAGAAGAAGGAAAGACTGATTAATATTTATTTGTAAAGCATCATATGTACATCTTCTTTGGCTTATTTCTATATGATCTGCGAACCAATTCTTTTCAAGGCTTTGCTCAATTGGATGTCTGGGACAATACATCATCATTTGGTTTGGTGGTATCACTGCATAATGACCTTTCTTTTTTTCTGAGGGGTTTTATAAAAATAAGCGAATTCTTCATTTTTTTCTTTATATGTTTTCTGTAATCAAGCATTGTTGCTCAAACAATAAACTGAATTAGTCTGGCTTGAAAAAAGATGATTTTTTTTTTTTATCTTACTTTTCAATACTAACCTAGTTCCCAATCTCCTGGTTCGTAGCCCCATGAAAATTGACCTTATTAGTTTTCCAAAAGAAGCAGCATTGACTGGGTCCAGTTTGTGTTCCTGACAGTGTCGTAGGTAGTGGTTGTATAGAGTGCTTCTGGGAAGACTCACTCCTTCTGCTGTCTCATAATTGTCCAACAGCCACTGGAGCTAGTATGAGTAAGACAGTAAACACAGAAAAAAAAGATCATTTACCAACATTAGTGGACACTGCAAACAGAATATACCGAAAATCTCAGATCTCCATCAAGTCTTGTAATAAGACAAATTGCTGCAATTCACAGGTCATCTGACCTGAAAGTGCTCAGAAACACTAGAAAAGGCAGACATCATTGATGACTTCATACCATGCCCATTCCTTCAGACATTCATGCACAAATGCAAAAATACTAGTATTTCCTACATGGACTGCTATATGGAGATAAATATCTCCAGAGAATTCAAATAATTCCATTAACTGGACATATATACAGCTTGCAATTGCCATGAGACAAAATATATTACCAAAGGTGACAGCATGGAACATAATATTTATTCAAATTGTTTATTACAACACACGGATAGCAGGATGTCTTGTACCATTTTTATAGTATCTAATTTCTTAAAATAACCACAAAATAATATTATTTACTAGAAAAAAATTCTTTAGGCAGGAGAATAAAAATCACTTTTCTCTCCAGAAATAAGGCTCATTAGACACTAGTTTAAAAAAAAAATCATGTGGATTAGTACCAGGAATTTTACTCCATGGCTTGGAGGCCATCCACACACACTAGGAGAAAAGGGAGCTCAGATAAAGAAGGGAGCACCAAATAAAGGTGTTGGAAGGATCATCCCAGGATGAGAGAAGCATGCGGAAAGTAGACTATAGACCAAATATTATTGTCACCCATTGCCTCTTTTGCAAACCACAACAGCCAAAAGGAGAGAGAGAACAAAAGGGAGTGCCTTGCCACAGAGGCAGGGTGGGATGGGAGGGGTGGGGGTGGGAGGGATACTGGGATCACTGGTGGTGGGAAATGGGCACTGGTGGAGGGATGGGTATCTGATCATTGTATAATTGAAACCCAAGCACAAAAATGTGTAAGTCTGCAACCGTACCTCATGATGTCTCACTTTTAAAAAAATTTTTAATAAAAAAAATCATGTGGTTGGGGGTTGGAGGGATTTTGGGGACATTGGAGGTGGAAAATGTACACTGGTGGAGGGACGGGTGTTTGATCATTATATGACTGAAACTCACACATAAAAGTTTTGTAACTGCAGCTCACGGTGGTTCAATCAAAAAAGAAAAAAAGAAAAAAAAATCACGTGGGGTCTGAGAGAGAGGACCGGGGATAAGGCAGATGCTCTGTATATGGTTCCTTGAGCACAACAAGGACTGAGCAAACCCTGGGCACAGAGCCAAGAGTAAGTCTGGAGTGCCAATGGGTGCTGGCCCCAAGCAACAAAAACACCCAGCCCAAAAATCTTAAATTAAACTATCTATGGGCCATCTATTTAAAAAGAGAAAACAATTTTGAAGAATATACGGTTTAAGTTACATGTCTTGCATGTGACCAATTGTGGCTCCTTTGCCGCGCCACCTGGTCGCTTGATTGTCATCGAGTGCTGTCCTTGAGGCCACTAAACTGTGCTAACGGTGGCCTAAACAGATCCACACTGCAGTGTGTGAACAACATTGCATCTTCAGGCCTTTGCACTGAACTCTTTGCATTGGGCTCTGGTTGGCAGAGAATGATCCAGAGAAGATCCTCTTGGCTATCCACATCTGGTTAAAAAACCACACTCTTTGACATCACTGTATCAGTGTCCTCCCGTTGTTCATCGATTTTGTTCGAGCGGGCCCAGTAACGTCCCCATCATGAGACTTGTTGTTACTGTGTCTGGCATATCGAATACGTCACGGGGAGCTTGCCAGGCTTTGCCATGGGGGCGAGATACTCTCAGTAGCTTGCTGGGCTCTCCAAGAGGGGCAGAGGAATTGAACCCGGCTCGGCCATGTTGGTTGTGTGCAAGGCAAACACCCTACTCGTTGTGCTATTGCTCCAGCCCAACTCTGTGACATATAGAATATATTTAAGATGATCCAACACACACACACACATATATAATCAAGTCCAACATTAACAAAATCAAATTGTCAACCTGTTTACTAATCTACAAAAAAAGAGAATTAAATAGACTCAAAGTACTTTCATAAGGTCACATATTGTCTCAGTGCTTGAGTCTGATCTCCAGTATATTCTGTAATTACTTGTATACCAGTTGTGATACTCATTAAAACGGCAACTATTTTAGATGATTTCTTTCAACAAAATTTCCACATCACATATGAGGAATGTTAGAGTAAATGGTTTTACAATCTATTCAAGTAAAATGTTGAGAATCACTTATGAAGTAGGCAAGGTGCTAGACACATAGTGATTCAAAAATTAATGTTGTATCTTCTTGTTCTCTAAAAACTTGCAACCAAGTTCCAAAAAAGACATCATGTACCATCAAATGAATTAAAGAATTTCTATATTTTGCTTACATTAGTCTGGGATGAGACTTAGAATCTTCAGACTCTCAAGAAAATTCATTAAAAATAATTTTTAAATGACTTTTTAAACATGACAAGTTTTTCAGAACTATTTTAATACTAAATATTCCTACATGATGTTACATAATTAAACATATATCTATACTTAAACTCATATCTGTATTCAAATCTATATCAACACACTCATGTAGTCGAGAAAATATGGCCTTCAAGATTATAAATATAGTAGAGCAGAATACTTTTACAAATAAAATTCATTTTCTGGAAGTGTCTATAGAGCACCTATCTATGGATGTACATTTAAACATATGATTGTATACAGGAAACAAACAATTGCCTCTGTAACAGTAATAATCTCCCCAAATACAATTTTTAAAAAGGTGACACAAAATAAACATTCAATTTTATGACAAAATATTATTGAACAAGATTTTTGATATATGAATCATCTGTAGTCTTATTGTCAGTAAACATTTTTTTTACAGACACACTCCTACATTATTTCTGAGTATTTCAAATCACAGAGTAAGTTCACTTATACATATTCATTTAGTGTAAAAGAGGAAGAAAGCTGATGGAAAAACAAAGGAGGAAAACATGTTATTAAGCCTCAGCCTAGAAATTTGCCAACAACGTGTGTGTGTGTGTGTGTGTGTGTGTGTGTGTGTGTGTGTGTGTGTGTGTTGGGGGTGGGGAGCAGGACACTCAAGAAATCTCTTCGGTGATTCCTTTTAAATTTTAAGAATTCGTTGATTATGAATACAAATGATATCTCTATGACAGACAAAATGGGGTATCGCGAGCATATCTCATCACCTCAATCAATGAATGGACTGTGACCGCATTGTTTTCTCACTTGGATGGAATTAGGGTAGTTCTGGTGAACCATATTGCGCAAAACATTGCTGGTTCTTGTTTTGTTACAGATACTAGAGAGACTTCCAATAGGATTATTAATATGGCAATAAAACAGAAAAACAAAATAGAGACTAGGGAAAAGAACCTAGACCCGATACCACTGTCATCCTGTTGTTCATCAATTGCCTCGAGCAGGCCCCAGTAACGTCTCCTTCGTCCTAGTCCTGAGATTTTAAAAAGTGCCATATTCGAGGAAGACTGGATATACAGGAAGAAAAAGGAAAGATTAAGGAAAAAACCCTCAAAAAGTCACATATGCCGAAAAAATATAAATTATTAGAAACAGCAGTATTTTATAAAAGTCTAATGAAGTACCCATATCTACAAGCATGGGAAAAACACTTGTAGATAAAAATGTCAAAGGTATGTACGTATGATATGTATCTTCATACAATAATGCATTCTATTGAAGCCAAAGCAGCTAAGAAATCAATTCTTAAAATCCAATCAGCCCTTCCTTTGTTAATGAGCAGAATATAGATCTGTAGAGTAAATCTTAGTTTTAAGGTCATTACTCTTGAAAAGTGACCAATAATCAATTTTATAATATTAACTTTATAAACTAAAGCTCAGAGTTTTTACTTCCACTTCACCCTCTTCTCCTTTTTCAAAGTGATCTCCAGGTTTCTCCTTTTGTCCTTTTTGTAAAATTAAAAACACACACATATGAAAAAAATGCAAAAAAAAAAACTCTGAAGGCTGAAGGTAGTAGCTCTACTAGTCATGGCTGTTTCATTAGGAAACTTGCCAATAACTGCACTAGGCCCGGTGATCCTAAAAACCACTAAATAAATGGTAATTGAATTAGGATCAACCAGATAAGATGCTGAGGTTTAATCCAGCTTTAAAATCTGCATTCTACATGCCATCATTTAACCTTCAAGTTTGGACACAGAGATGAAATCAAAGAAAGGACTAATTACATTGTAAGAGAAACTTAGCAGTTCAACATAACCTGAAGACAAACATTACATACTTGATGTATTTCCCAAGGAAACGTAATGCTGATTCTAAGATAATTTTTTCCCTTTGGTTTTTGTTTTTAATACACTGAATTTGAACACCTGAATTCAATACCTGAACATTTGGTAATTTAGAACTAAACCATTACATTTTTTTGCTATACTTTACACAATGTCTTCTAAAACATTTGTTTACATTCATGGTTTTAAACGGCCATAAAATACCATAGGAACTTTTGACCTTTATCTTTAAAACCTGATTATTCTACTAATGAACGAAATAAATTTATCTAAGGATGGAAAACAAGATAATTGCATCTTTCAACCTTTGCATTTAATCTATATTAATCAGAATAGATTAAAGAAAATGAACAGTTCCAATTTTTCCCAAAGGGAAATACTGATTGACAAATAAAAAAAAGTACAGCTTGTACTCTCAAATTAACATCTAAACATAACATTTGGCATTTTTTCCCAGACGGATTATTATCCATTAGAATTCTTTTAAGTTCAGTTCACTGAGAATATGCATTTTGACAGGTCTTATTTCTATCATAACTTATATTTACAATATAGCAAAATCAAAGGAGAATGGATATAAAACACGTTTTTGCTTTGAGCTGAATGTATCTGAGCAGCTAACACCAGCAAAAAATTATAACATAATTATTTGCTAGATTTGAAGTGTATAAAATAAATGACTGAATCCTTTTATATACTTTAAATGGATTTTTCTCAAATGTACAAGCTGAAGAACATTATGTGAGAACTGAGAACAATTATTTTAAGAACATTCTGTATTTAAATTTACAAGCAAAAATATCCAGAATTGGAAACAATATAACCACTATCAATTTGTATTACACTATAATAGATATACTTCATTAACTACAACTGAGGATGAGTATGAAATAAATGCAAATCTTCAATGAAGAGAATTACGGCATTCTAATGTAGGCTGAATATATACCATTTATAGCATTTTCAAATATAAAACCTTATTAAATATAAATGATTATACTAATAGACTCAATAACCCCAAGCAAAGTCAAAAGCACCACATCAAAATATTACGAGATGAATTACACTACCACTGGATAAAATTTTTTAAGTATAAGACTGGAGTAAAACTACCTTGTCTAGCGCTCTTAAACTGAAGGTCAGATCTGGAGAAATGACAGTTTGCATACATATTGTTTAACCCAAATGTAGGCAGAATACTTTTAAAAGTTTTTGAAAGTTCCAATTCTATCAAGAATGTTCAAAAACAAAAACACTAAAGCACGTTTGAAAAAAAAAAACCTAGGTATGATTTCACAGAAGAGCACACACAACGGGCAAAGGCACTTAGCGTCTATCCCACTCTATTTCTCAAATTCATTCATTTAGCAAACATCTAGTGAACACTCAATATATAAGGTGCACTCTTTTACTCACCAGGGATGCAATGGTGGACAAAATGTATACAATACTTACTTTCTGAACATTCAACTGTTAATTAATATTTATTATTTGACAATGAGAACCTAGTGCTAAAATAGTTTCAATTATGTTACTATTATTAATGTAATAAAATATGGTGATCAGTATAAATGTATTTGGTCACAAATGGGAGGGCACTATAGGGTATGAAGTAGCTCTTTGCTCTGGATGGTATTAGCATAATTATAAAGACAGAACAACAGTACTAAATACTCCAAATTATTATAGTGAAAAAAGGAAATAGATTTTAAAAACTCCTACTCCATCTTGTAATCTACAGAAAGAAAGTTTTTTTTTAAAAAACAGCACTCAGTGGAATTCTAATGCAAGAGCATTTTTGATTTTTCCCTAATAGGAACCTTTGAATATTATTGTAATAATTGCATGATGAGAAAATTCTGTATTCTATATTTCCAAAATGGAATAACAATAGGTTTTCAGTTCCAACACCACGACTGAATCCCATCTTTTAAAATTAGTATATATGGTACAGCTAGAGAGGGGCTAGAGTGCTTGTCTACACGCAGTCCACTTTAGTTCGATCCTTGGCACTGCATATGGTTCCCAGCCCTACCAGGAGTAATCCCTGAACATAGAACCAGGAGTGGTTCCTAAGCCCTGCTGATTATGGTACAACCCCCAAGCCACTCAAAAAGCTGAAACAAAACAATAACAAAAAACCTAGTAAGTACTAGACATACATTTTTGATGTTTTTCCCCTATCCACTGACCAAATAATCCTTTTCAGAAATTGGTAAATCAGGAAACTAGCAATATAAACCTGAAATTTTGTCCACGTCAAAGGATGTCACAAACTTCGATATTTTGTTGAACACAGCAAGAGTAAAAGCAACACAGTTTATGGGAATTTATAGTAGTTGTGCTTTCATAAAACTTCTCCACAGATGTTTACTTTTCTACAACACTAAAAGTTTCTGATTAGATTAACAGATTTAAAAAACACCCTCGCTGGTGCTTATCAACTAGAATGCATGCAGCAGCCTACTCTAGTTAAACAGGGCTAATAAGACACAGGACATCACAAACTTTTCAAGAAGAATTAGACAGCAGGCTCTTATGTGTTGAGAGAAAAGGGAAAACGTGACTGCAGCAGAAAACACTGATTTTTTCCCCCCACTGTTCCACCTGTATCTTAAGACTCAGTAGTTATAAAGACTTGACTGTAGATGTGTTTTAAAATAAATTTTAACGTAACTCCAAGTTATAATAAAATGTATCAGCATATCAAGGAAAAGATTATCAGTGAATTTACAACATTTACACCTACTTTTTCAATATACTGAAAAGCTTCTCATGGCTGTAAACAATATGGATGATTTGTCACGCTGCATAATACAAAACACAAAGCCAGGGAGTAACAAACATTTGTCTGATGTTTGATGTTTATGCAGCTTAATTTACACATTCATTAACATTAACTAGTATACTTCATGACTCCTACAATAGGAATATAATATCACAGAAACTCGAACATATTTGAAAAGTTTAAACAAGTCAATAAATCAACAAAAATATACAAAGAAACATGTTCCACAGTACTGTTCATGAAAGGACTAATCAAAATGGATATTCTTATAATTAAATGTCACACATTTTAAGAAACCACGGATCTCATTTGTAAAGAAAATGTGAATTAAATATGAAAGTCCAAATTCACATAAATTCAAAAATTCTAAATAGGTAACTGGAAACTTCAAGGGTTTTGACCCCCTTTTGTCCCAGATATTCTTTATGAAGAGGGAAGAATGTTTTCACCAGTCATTTTCAAAACACAAATATTAGTTAGAACATCCCTCCCCCAAACATACACCCTAATATATACAGTAAAGTCATATTTTACACACTCACAGACTCATGCTAACACAGCAGAAATATAGTTATGAAACATATAAGAATTGCATATTAATATGAATTTTCTGAAATGGGAAAATAATATTTTAGCTATCACAAAAGATTATTTTAAAAACTCTATGATTTTCACTAAAATTGTAGGCATTTTTCAAGTTGGCAAATCTGTTTTTTATCATGACTCTTCTTAATAACCAAAAAAAAAAATTCTAAAAAAAAAAAGTGTCAGAACACAAGTCATTTATTATTATTATGCTAGAATACGAAGTCCATCATTTTAAATTTAACTATTTTAAAGATTACTGAAAACACTTTCAGAGTGAAAACTATCAATGATAGGTTTTTGGTTTATTTAATTGTTTTACTGGAAGTGGGGTTGTGATTGGTCATACCTAGCAGTTCGGGGGTTAGACTTGGTTCTGTGCTCAGGGGTCATTCCTGAGAGAGCTCAGGAAACCATGTGGTACTTAGGAATTTTGAGGTGCTCAGATCAAACTGGGGTAGGCTACATGCAAGGTAAGTACCTTCATCCATATACTATCTCTCCAGACCTTTAAAAGCTTATTGTAAAGATGGAATTTATATGATTTGGGAGATTTAATTTTGGACGTTTCAGTCACAAAATATGTGGAAGAATTAACTCACAATGACAATTTTATCTCTAAATTTAGGAATACACTGTCAGTTGAAAGAGAAAACAAATTCTTATTAACAAATTCTTATTATAATCATCATTTAGCATTAGAACATATCGTTTCTTATGTTTTCGGGAGCACACCCAGAGGCATTCAGGGGATACTCCTGCCTCTACACTCAGGAATTGTTCCTGGTGAGTGTGAGAGATCATATGGGATGCTCAGGATACCTGAGTAGGCTGTTCAAGGCAAAAGCACTACCTGCTTTACTATTCCAGCTCCAGAATATCTTAAATAGAATTGAATATTGGGTGTCTTTTCTTTTTCTCATTATTTAGAAATAAAAGTAACAAAATAATCTTTCTTATTTTCATTGATGCCCCAAGATTTGAATATTTGGTTGAATAGTTTTAGTTTCACAAAACAGTAATTACTTTTGCTACACTGTTACAGTAATGTTGCATATATTCATGGTCAAAAATTTCAAGAAATAATTAGAGTATCTTGATTTTTTTCTCAATTATTAGCAATTTTTTTTCTTTTTGGATCACATCTGGCGATGCTCAGGTGTAACTCTTAGCTCTGCTCTCAGGAATTACTCCTGGTGGTGCTGGGGGACCATATGGGATGCTGGATATTGAACCCGGGTTGGCTGCATGCAAGGCAAACACCCTACCCACTGTGTTATCGCTCCAGCCCCAATTATCAGTAATTTTTAAACTTTTCTTCAGCATCACTTCTTTTTGGCCATTTCATTTTTAAGTCTTAGGACCTCAGCTTATTTAGATAGCTGTTTCATGCCCATACTATATTTTCTTACTGTTAAATGAACATTTTCAAACAATTTATCACTGGGTTAGGCATGATAAGCCTTGAAAAGCCAAACAGACTATTACTGGTTACAGAAGCAAGTAAGAGTAACTCTCAGTCCCAGACACAGGAGATATAGATTCCAAGCATTTGCTTCAGAAAAAACAAATATCAAACTAGAACATTTTCAGTATTTAAAATGCCATTTTACTTCTTAAACATATATGGCAGCCTGTTATTTACTTGGTAACGTCATACATGTACCCAAAGACAGTACAAACCTAAGAAAGCAATATACTGGGGTCTCTATGTTTTATATATTCCATTGTACAAAACAGCCATTAAGTGATAGAGTTCATAAGGGAAGGAAGGTTAAGAAGTAAAATAAATAAATAAAACAAGCATTAGGAAGCAAGCAACACATGCAGAACAAGCAAGAGATTAGTTTACGTGAAGAAGAGGCAACTTACATGGCTGTTGAGAAGAGAACTTCTGTGAGTGGACAGACCGTCAGACTTTTGCAGCGTCTCAATCGCCATTTCAATCTGATAAAGATGTCATTAAAAAAAAAAGGGCTCAAGACAAGATAGTGATAAAAGGCTCACCAAAGAATTTCTGAATAAGAATTTTTAAAGTTCAGTTTTCTTTTCAATGGTGGCTAATGAATAGGTTTAACTAAAATGTGTACTTCCCCCATTTCCCCCCAACCCCAAAGAATTAATTAAAAAAAAGGCACACTAATAATATGTCCAATCGCAAAAGTAGACCTTTTAAAACATCCTGCAATTATAATCCGATTGGAGACCCGTGGAACAGGAATCCAGTGAAATTTTCTGGTTATAAGAAAATAATTTTGACTTTCACAGTTCCAAGATGTGGGAAAGAAACCACTCTCTAAATATTCTCTCATTTAGAGTATTTAATATTTGTTCTATTCTGTCACGAAGGAAAAATTATACTCCAGATCTTGCGTTTAACATGCATTAGCATTTTAATGTGAATGTTCAAAGATCACTCTATTAATGTTTAAAAGTTATGAATATATCCATCTCTCTCTTACTTAACCCTGTATCAAAATTTAGAAATGGAGGGTCATTAGTAAGAACAAACGTATTAAGATGAAATCATGGCTCCTATATTATTCTTTAGGATGTGGTGGTGAGGCAGAGCGATTAGAAGTGACAGCGGAAATGGAACAGAGAAGAGGAAAAGAAATTCAGAGCCAAGGAAGAAAATGGGCAACAGCAGAAACGATTCTAGTCTATGTAGTCTCAGCATACAACAAGCAATCATCGCACCTAAAGAAGTAGCTTGGGGCCAATAACAAGTGAGAGGCACTCTTCACTTCATGTTTAAAGAAATCTACTGCTCAAGTTCTATCTCAGTATAGCACAAAGTTTAAAACAGGTTCTGCACACCTGTACTTGGTTCATATGAACAACTTCACCACTACTACTATAGTCGGCAGTTATAAAGTATTTCATATCTTAAAACACAGTTGACTTATTTATATTTACATTTGCTATGGAAATTAGGGTAATTTCTTAACACTTGCACTGCATCAACTCCCAACAATGACGAAGATATATAACAAGAATATATCCACAGCAAATGTATATTTTATTTTTCTAATAAATTTCCAATTTTTTGGTAGTATAACAATCTATAGGCTATTTAGTTCAATGAAATTAAAACATTAAACCTAATTTTCTTCTAAACTTGGGAATCAGCCACTGTACTTCTCTTTTGTATTATTTGCTCAAATTAGATTCTTACTAGTGTTAATAAAATGTAACATGAGAAGAATATTCGATTAGATATTATACAAATATTCTGAAAACAGTAAATTTAAACAATGATATAAGACTAGTCTATATTTTTATCATAAAATTAAACTGTTTTCTAGAAACCAATTCTCAAATGTTAATATAGTCTATCTTTATACTTGAAAATAAAATTGAGTTATAATGTAGAAGTGAAAAAAAGATCCAGAAAGTCATGTAAATGTAATGAGTAAACAAGTATTTTACCAAAATGTGAAACAGTAAAAATGATAAGGGACCTCAATCACATCTGATAAAAGGGCAAGAGAAAACGCTCTTGTTTTCAAATAAAAAACTCAGGCACACACACAGACCTGCACATGAAGAAGCTGCTCAAAACTGTAATTGGCTAAAACGTCTATGTTTCTTTTAAAGTCTGAGTGTGGAAATTGAGGCTAAATTTCTACCAATCATATAGACACACAAGCTGATCTTTATTTTGTAATTTTACAAGTTTATATAAAAAGCAAGTTTATATGAAAATACTGACATAAATATAAGAACTGTGAAGGGTTTGGTTCTCTGATTAGTGCTCACGGCCTAAAAGGGACACGGTGGCCATGCTTGAGGGGTCACCTATTGCTGGGGCCTCTGAATGAAAGATTTATGCTTCAGGCCTTTTGAAGTCTTTTGCTTCTAGTTAATCAACAGTTGGTAGTTGGAGGAATTAATAGTTTCACTGAAAAAAATTTTTATGTTTTTATTGCTAAAATTGCTTCTTTTATGGTGGTCCCAGATTTCAAACAATGCCTGAAGTCCAGGCTGTTAGGAAATGATTCTCTCATTTCTGGTCTTTCATTCATTTTTCCTTTTTAAAGAGCTTTGGGTAAAGTATAAAGTCTAGAAAAAATCTGGGTCAAGCTAGATAAACATGAGGCAAAGTAACTCTCTAGAATTCTCGGGATCTTAGAATTTCAGTTCTGTCGTTATTTTGTAATAAAGACTAAAGATGAAGTAGCTCCCTTGTAGCAGTTTTATAAACTATTTGACTTTGGTCTGTGCAAATCTGTAGAGGCCAGGGAACAGAAAAGAGGAAAAAGGGGAATGACAGGACATGCCAGGCGTCAATAATGAGCCAAACAAGATGAGCAGCTTCATAGCAAGAATGTTGGAGCCCACTTGGAAACCTTCTAGTTTCTAAATATCCATGAAATCTCAGACACATTAATTGGTCCAAAGGGATAGCCAGAACTTAGATAAAAATTTCTTATAAACATACCCCTCCAAAGCAAAACTCCACAAACCCCATAATATGCATTAAACATATTTATTAAATAAAACTAGTGAATGGAGTAATTATCTCATGAAATGATCATATACCCCCAACTCCATTCTCCCCCCCCCCCAATTCCATATTTTAAGGGATGGGTTTTATTCCTAACAGGAACCTATCACACCTTATATCATATTTTGTAGGGAACCACAGTAACAGAAAACAACTTCATAACCCAACCGACATTGCTATCTTATAAGAAAAGAAGGGTTTGTAGTCATTTCTATAAAAATATAAGTTCATATGTGACAAAAATAATAGGTCAAAAATGTTAAATTCTCTTGAATCCCCTAATGGGAAAATGCACAAAAGTAAATGCACACAATTTTGCATTCATTTCTCAAAACCTATAGTGTCCCAAATTAAGATTCCGATATTTAAAAGATGTCAGTATTCAGGAACTAGAAATGGGGAGCAGGGTGTTGATTCTAGGAGGAAAGCCGGGCCCAATACAAAAGGAGGCAGAAAAGCACTGGGTGTGTCTGTAACTGTGAAATAGCAAGAGGTCCAGAGTATATGGGAGAGTCAGGGGAGACTTATCAATATTAGGTTTTAAGAGACCTAAGTGGTATGTGCTTTCATAGAAAGCTCTGATATACGTTTTGTTAGGCATAACGCATGCAGTCCTCTAGTTCTAAGGTAAGGAATAAAATGTGCCTGACAATGCTTGTTGAGAGGAAGGTTTCAGGTAGAAGATCACAGACGAGATTCATATCTACTGTTATCTATTACAATAGTAGAGGGAGTGAAGGTGAAAGAGAGCCAGGGAAACAACAAAGTCAGGGGTGAAGAAAAAGCCAGGCAAAACTTTGATATGGAATCAACAAAGGAATAACTAGATGCAATATTCTAAATGGATTACGGATACAACTCCTATCAAACAGCCCAGGATTTGGTCTTTTCAGAGTTACATGAGGACGGGGATCTACAGATATGTATATGGATAAAGATGAAAACTAACCAGGTAAAATCCCTTAGTCGGTTAGAAGAAATTCCTGTAAGAACGAGCGAAAGGAAGGCCAACTGTTCGACTTTATATATTATTGTGGCTTAGATACTTGAGCATTTTATTTTCAAGCATCTGGGGATTGATTAATCTCAAGAAAAATGCACCATTAGCATTTTATACCTAAAATATTGAGATAAAAGTTACTGCTAATTTTTTTAAGCATTACATTGAATCCTTAGGAAATTTTACAAATTCCCCTGGGTACGTCTTAATTTGACGTTAAATTATATTCCACAGTACTCTGTCATATTTAAGAAAGGAAATGACAATCAAGTGAGGCAGATGGAAAATTTGCTTAAAAGTATAGGATCAGTGATCCACTAGATCATTGGTCCAAATGTTCAACATGTTCACATATGGAAATGTTTCGTCTCAAAGAAATGTTTCCAACCTTAACAAAGATTTCTACCACAGCAGCATTACGCAATAATAGTTATTCAATAGCTGGATTATTGGCAAGATTGTTAGAAGTGAAAGTGATTTAAACTTAAGACATATGAGGGCTTGCAAGGCTAAAAATAAGATTTTAAAAGCTATCAGAAAAACTATGGAGCTTGCTGATAACCGAAAATTATTAGACTGTCAAAAATTCGTACATATATTTTTATTCTATTTTAATAAGCATGAAACTCTATTGTCTGCAAGGTTTGGTGTTGGCTCTATGTGTATGAGTAAGCACAGAAAGACAGAGGCAGACATATTTTCAAAATATCATTCACACTGCCCGGTCAACCAAAACACTATAACACATTATGATCTAATTTAAAGAAGTGATAGAATGAATCCACCAATATAACAAATTTATATCTAAATGAAGATAACCAGGACACAATAAATATCACCAGAAAACAGAGGCAAGAAGGAAGGTGGGGAATAATTAGCTCTAGCTGATACTACTAGAGGAAATGTAGGTAAGATGACTATCAAGCAGGGAAATGACAAACAATGCACGGCATTCGATAGGGCACGTTAGTGAACTCTGTAGGCAGACACAAACAAGACACAACAAAACACAGAAGCACAGACCTAAAAGAGCATAGCCTAAAATCAAGGAAGGGTAAGACTGCCTAAGGGATGAAGTTGCGCTAGGGATAGATAAATTAAGTTAGAAGAATGTCTTCCCAGTTGGAATCTGCAACTAAACCGGACATAAAACATAGTGGAAAAGCCCTGAGAAAGGAACTTATCTGATCTTTATATGCTAATCTGGGATAAACTATAGAAAGCAAACAATACACAGACAGGACAACCCCCTCGAAAGACAGGATAGTAACCTAGTACTGAGGTGAAAGTCCCATAATCAGGTAGCAACGAGAAGAAATAGAAATATTTGAATTATATATTTAAATGTGGGGAGTGTAAGCTAGAAAGCCTGTCAATGATTTATTTGAACTTGAACACAACAGCCTTTATTTTATCCCTGTGTGATTAGAACATTTC